CACATGGCACATATCTTATTTTGAAGTAAAAAAACAAAACGGGAACAAATACAATATTCGTATTTGCATGTGGCCCGCGGGCGTAGTGTGAGGACCCCTGGTCTACGGTCACAGGTTCCACAGGCGTGTGTGTGTCTTTAACCTCAAACTGGCCTATTTTTAGGCAAAATAAACAGAAAACCCCTCTGACTGAGCCCACACTCTGGAGCCTCACGGTTCGCGTGGCCAGCGGGACGCAGACCCGGCCACCTCGTTAAACTCGCCGGATGCCACAGGCCGTCCATCTCCTCCGAGCCCAGGCAACCGCCCCCAGCCCAGGGTCTCTCCGGGAAACGTTTTCCGAGGGGCCCGCGGGTCTCGGAAACCGGAGCCACCCCCTTCGGAGCTCCCCCGCAGACCTGTGGCCAGACGGCCTTGGACTGACACTATCACCCGCCAAATCCCAACGCCAGGCGCCACGACACACATAGCGGAGCCCGGGCGGGGCTCAGGGCTTGAGCATCGACCTGGGAACCGGGAGGTCAGGGTTCATCCCCGGTCGGGGCACAGGCCCGGGTTGTGAGCTCCATCCCCAGTAGGGGGCGTGCAGGAGGCAGCCTGTTGATGTTTCTCTCGGTACCTCTCCCTTTCTAAAAACCCATAAAAACTTTTTTTGATGTCCCCAGGCATCCCCATGTGGCCCCTGGGCTGCACAGTCGACCCCCGTGGAGAACCAAGGTCCTTGAACGAGCCACGCCCAGAGTCCGTGTCCCTGTCACGTGGCTGGCATCCTGCTTTCCTCCGGCTCCCAGCTTTTGACCAGTCTGTTTAGAGCTGACCAGCCCCCCCGCACCCCGCATCCCATGACCCCGATTTAGCTTCTCCATGGTACCTGCCACGTGGTGTTGTTTATTCCTTGTCTCCCCAGCTTGTTCGTGGTCTCCCCAAGAATAGGCTCCTTCTGTTCTTGGCCCTCCCCCTGCCCGCTGGCGCCCCCAGCTTGCCTGGCACACGGCCAAGGGCCCGGGCTCCGCTCTGTGGCGTTGGGAATATTCTGAAACCGATCGTGGCCGCTGTTTCACCAGCAGGAGAGGAGCTGGCTTAGGAGGCCACCGTGGTGGGCAGAGGCTCGGGGAGAAGTTAGAGAATAAATCTTAGGTCCTTTAGGCCACTCTGTTGGGTTTCTCTGCTACGCGTGGTAAACAGCCCGCTCTCAGGAGTGAGTGGAGAAGTAGGAAAGTGAAAGCTGGAACCGGGGAGGGCAGCCGGATATTTCCCCCCTAAAACCTGACCCCGTTTGCTCTCAGTCGGGGCCTTCTGCCCAGCCCGTCGTCTCTGAGGTGGTGGCCCTGTGCTGAGCCCCGTGATGCGCATAGCTTTGTTGGGTACAGTTGGGCCTCTCTCCTTTGTACTCAAATCATCAGATAACAAATGGGCCCTCGTTGGTGTGGCCCAGTGGATAGAGCGTCGGCCTGAGGACTGAAGGGTCCCGGGTTCGATTCCAGTCAGGGCACAGGCTCAGGTTGTGGGCTCCATCCCCAGTAGGGGGGGGGGGTGCAGGAGGCAGCCGATCCATGATTCTCTCTCATCATTGATGTTTCTCTCTCTCTCCCTCTCCCTTCCTCTATGAAACCAATAAAAAAAACTTTTTTTTTTTTAAATAATAAATGGCCTCCCTCGCACGGCAGGTGTCTGAAGGCCAGGCAGTGCCTCCAGAGCATGGCCTGGTGGGAACCTCTTCCCCGGGGAGCTCTCTGGGCCGGGACTTCGCTGCCAGGACACACGTGCGAACTGAAGTTGGAAACGTTCGCTCTGACACGTTTCTCTCCCTCTCCCTTCCTTGTCCGTAACCAGCCGGCCCCCGGCCCGGCCCCTGCTCAGTGCCGAGATCAGAGAAGGCGACAGCGTGAAGTCAGGAGCCATCTGAGACCGAGGCCATTTTGGGGGCCGCCGATGTCTGACATCTGTCGTGCCGCTTCCACTTCTCCTTCCACGGCTGCGCCTCTCCCCTCCCCCTGCAGCCCCATCTGCCTGCTCACTCTCGGGTTCCTCTAAACGCCCCCCTGCCAGCCGCTGCCACGGACCCTGCGTCTTCCCACCATCACCCACCCGCTCAGTCAACAGACAGCCTCGCCCGGCCCGCTGCCCTTGCCGTGACCCTGCCCGCTGGGCGCCCGCAACGCGGCCCACGCTTCTGCTTCGCCGGGCTCCCAGTTCCCCGCCGGGCTCCTCTGTGTGCGCCAGGCCGGGGCGCACGTCATCAGCTGTGAGGCAGTCACAGGCCCTGCCATCGAGCCGTGACGGTTCAGGGGTGGAGGCGTCATACGTTCTATTCTTTTAAAAATGTTTTCATTCCTTTCAGAGAGGAAGGGAGAGGGAGAGAGAGACAGAAACATCGATGATGAGAGAGGATCATTGGCTCCTGCACGCCCCACGCTGGGGATTGAGTCCACAACCCGCAACCCAGGCCCCTTCAGCCCGAAGGCTGGTGTATCCCGGAGCAAACCGGCTCGGGCGTAAGTTCTGTCTGTTGCAAGGCGAACCTGTTGCAACATGCCGCCCCGGCTGCAGGTGGCCGAGGTGGAGGGAGAGCGAGGACCGGGCAGCTGAAGCCGTGGAGCCTTGCGCTCCTGGGCCCAGACCACGGCCCCAGCCTGCCTTCCTGTGAGCGAGGCGGGCTCGCGGGGCAGCTCTGGCTTCGGTTTCGCGGGGGATGTGAAACCTGTGGCTGGGACGACGGCGGTTTGGACTTGCCCTTTTCTCCAGCTCTTATTTGGCCTGGAGAACAGCACCCTCTTCTGGGCCCTTTGCCCCTGGGTCTGCAGGAGGCGGGCACTCGCCCACAGAAAGGGAGGAGGGAGGGGAGTGGAGGGGGAGGGGGAGGGGGTGGACTTGAAGAAGGGCAGCTGTTCCTGTTCACGGATGTGGGACCACACCTAACAGGGCTATTTTTTTTTAATGTCTTTATTGATTTCTGAGAGAGGAAGGGAGAGGGAGAGACATCAATCGGCTGCCTCCTGCACCACCACCCCCCCGCCCCCATTGAGTATCAAGCCTGAAACCCAGGCCTGTGCCCTGACCAGGAATGGAACTGTGGCCTCCTGGTTCATGGGTGGATGCTCAACCACTGAGCAACACCGGCCGGGCCTGACCGTTCTGTCTTAACGACCACTTTCACAATTCCTTACAGGAGCCTGAATCCACACGGAATGATGACCGGTGGTTATAGGTCAGGCTGTACAGAAAAGATCAAAGGAAAAGAATTGGAGGCCAAACATCATACAGTTCAGCGTGTGATAGCGGCACTTCCAGTCCACGGGGAAGAACGGGGACACAGTAACTCACTGGAGCCAGCGTCCGTACGAGCACCGAGAGGAGATCATGCAAACACGAGGCCCCGTGAGGGGATGCGTGTCCAGGCCTCACACGGAAGCTCTCAGGGAGAGGGTGTGGATTTGATTTCACACAGACTCGCAGGTACTCTGTGGAAAGCAGTTTCGTGAACAGCAAACTGGAAAAAATGTCTGAAATACATACGACAAGGTTAACGTCCTTATTTGTGGAGAGTTCTTTGGGAAACGTATGAAATGCGTTGGATAAACATCCAGGAAGTAAAACTGTCCCAGTGCGGGTGCGGGTGTCGGGGGCAGCGGTCCCTCATGCTCCCAGGCGCCTCCCTGCACGGGGAGCAGCACCGGGAGTTTCTGGTTAATCCCCGCTGCCCTGTCCCCGGGGCCAGGAGCCCCCACGTGACCTAGGCCAGTGGTCGGCAAACCGCGGCTCTTTGGCCTCTTGAGTGTGGCTCTCCCTAAGCCTTAGGAGGACCCTCATTAAGTTAATAACAGTGTACCTGCCTATACAGTTGAAGTTTAAAAAATTTGGCTCTCAGAAGAAATTTCAATCGTCGTACTGTTGGTATTTGGCCCTGTTGACCAATGAGTTTGCCGACCACTGGCCTACGCCCGTCCACTCCGCAGGTTTACAGCGATTGGCTCAAAGATGCGCATGTGACCCATGTTGGTCCCTCACTTAACTGAGCGACCGGAAATAACTGATTTCTCTCTCCGCTGATCTGTCCTTCTATGGCAAAAAACCTGGCATTGCCGGGGCCCGTCGCGTGAAACCCCAGAGAGAAGCGATCCAGGAGGTGGAGTGAGGAAAGACCTGGTTTCAGAGTAACCTTCCTAGGCCGCGGTTATGACGGCTTTTTTTTTATTCCTGCACATTTCAGTGGTGAGCCCGTAAATCCTCTTCCTGATGAGGAGAAGCGGAAAAGTCCCAGCTCCGACAGGCACATCCATGCACGTGAGTGTACACGGAGAACAGGAAAGGACCAGTGCCGTGCCCGCCCCTCATGAAAACACCAGCAAAAACGTAAAACGCCAAGAGCGGGGACGTGGTTGTCACTTGAACTAAAACCTCCCGGCGGGGACCTCGTTCTGGGACGTGCTTCAGTGAGAAGCACGCCACGCGCGTGTAGTTTCTCGCAGGGCAATCAGTCACTGGCCTGCACTTGGCGCAGTTCCACTTCCTGGAGTCTCAGGGCCCCAGAGACTTGGCTACAAAACGTTCATTACGATGTTGCTTAAAGTAGCAGAACGCCCGCACACAGCCACCTTGTGCAATTAGAAGGCATTGATTACATTGGGTGGGTGCTATGTAGCTATTCAGACGGCGCTGCAGGAGCAGGGTTCGGGGCTGGAAACGCCTGGCTGATGTATTGCTCTCTTCGTTTCCTCTGCTGTGTAACAGATTACAGCTCCAGGAACTCACGCAACACCCATAAATCAGCTCTCAGGCCTGCAGGCCCGGTGGGCATGGCACATCCAGTTCTCTGCTCAGGGTCTTGCAAAACGGAGATTGCACCCGGGCTCTTCCAGCCCCTGCGGTTTTGGGGAGTCTAGTTTTTTTAAGGTGAGGGTTTGAGGTGCCCATTAACTGCTGGCTATCATTGGGGGGGGGCGGGGGTAGCAGGGGCTGCCCCCAGCCTTTGGATCCTCCAGCGTCCTTTCCAAGGAGCCCAGTCATCCCCAAAGCCACCAGCAGGGACTCGCCCTGACATCCAATCCCTTCCATGCTTTGACATCAGGAAATGCAGGTCCCTTGAAAGGGACCATTTTATTGGGTGAGACTCATCCTGCCTTAAGGGCAACTCATCTGGGAATGTAATCACCTCTGCAAATTCAATAAGGGAGAAGGCATCCGGCAGGAGGCAGGCCCCGAGGGGGGCGGGTTAGCGCTTTCCCACCACAATGATTAAGTAAAAATAGAGCCAATTTATATATCTATTTCCTATTTTTGTAACAACAACCACAAACCCCACAGAATGAAAATCAACCAAAAAAACCCCGTGTCCATGTGGCAGTTACAGAAGCGGGGTGAAGAGTTCGCACCGCCTTCCGGGCCTGTAGCGGGGAGCGCACCCCGTCTTGCTGGTGGGACGCTGCCGGGTGCCTGGGACAGGGCCGCACCCGTGAGCACCAGGAGCATGGCTGCCTGTAAAGCCGGGACACCTGACATCGAGAGTTCCCGGCGCCTTATCTCGGGCGGTGGGTTCGGTGTGGTTTCTGAGTCCCGTCCTGTTCACTGTCGGTGCAAACAGACCGGTTATGCAATAAAGTAAGTTAACAATTGACAGGGGAAGCGTGGCTTCTGTGCAGGGCTTTCCGGAGCCGTTAGGACACCTTCCCTCCGTCCGGCCGCCTAGAGACGCAGCGCCTGGGGGTGAGGAGGACCATCTTTGGGGAACTGGCCGCCCAGCCCTCAGGACAGGACATCAGAGCCGGGGCTCCTGCCCAGAGCGGGGAAGTCCCCCTCCTCCTGACGCAACCTGAGAAGGACTCGTTCCTTTCACACCCACGGGTGGTTTTTTTAATTAAATTTTTTTTAATATATATATTTGGTTGCTCTCAAGGCCGTGAGTGAGAGCCAGGATTTGGAAACCACAGCGCTGTCCGGACCTTTTCTTTGAGCGGATGGGGGGGGGCCCTTCCCCACCTCACCGCCCCCCCCCCCCCCACACACACACACACAGGCAGCATCTGCAGCTCTCGCCCCCACGGGGAGGGGTGGCCCAGAGACCGAAACCTCTCATAGAAACAGGAGACGCCTCACTGGGAGGCCACAGGCCGGAGGGAGAGAAAAGGAGGGGAGCGTGGATCTGAGGTCGCTTCGCCCCCGACCCCCCCGGGCTGGGACCCCTGGTCACAGGGAAGAGGGGCTTTGCTCTATGTGTATTTTTATTCTATTTCTAAGGGTTTCAGAAGAAGGGAGGGGGAGAGACGGCAAGGAGGAGTGAGTCATGGATCGCCTGCCTCCCGCAGCCCCCACCGGTGCCTGCGCCCTCGGCCTGAATGGAACCCTGACCTCCCGCTTCCTAGGTGGGCGCTCAGCCCCGGGCCACG